ATTAATAATTGCAGTTTATCTTTCACTGAAAAAGAAAAAAATTATATTTAAAAAATGAAAAGAAAATATTTAGTGAAATAAGTAAACAAAAAACAAAAAAATAAAAACAAAAAAAAATTTTGAAAATGCAACAATAATGGTTGGTAAGTCAGAGAATTTAATATGCTATCAGGAGAAACAACTCAAGTACACATGATGTTATTTCAGAATTATGCTTTAGTAAGTTTGTCGGAGACAAATTTGATATATATTTTGGCATATTAAAAAATTATTCTAAAAATATACCGTTTCACAGATTATAATAAGTTTTTGAATTTAAGATCTGTAAAAAGTAGATCTTTTAATAAGAACATTTCCTCACAGTTATGCTTCAAATTTAATTTTAAAATATTTAACAACTTTATCACATTTTGCATTTTAAAAAAAAATACAAAAAAAAAAATATTCTTGTAAAAATTCATTTTTCATCAAAAAAATATTTTGGCTTTAGATAAAAATGTCCTTAATATGTATTATTCAGAAAAGCCATTAAAAGGTTTTTTTAATTAAATAATGCCTTAGTTTTATTGGGCTTTGAATTTTCAATTGAAAAATGTGCGAAAAAAAAACAAATGCTAAATATTACACGATCTCTGACCTAAAAAAAAAAAAAAAAAGATTTTCAACCAAAATTTCAAGTGTGATAGAAAGGAATAAAAAATTTTTTAAAAATGATTAAAAAATACTTTGGTCTTTCCTCTTATTAATAACATAAAACTTTTTCAAGATAAAACTTTGTTTTCATTGAATTTGGGACTTTTTTCATCATGCTTATGCTGTTTTTTCAGTGAATTATTGAACATAGCTAGAGAGAAGAGAGTCCTTGTAAATGTGTATGTATGTATATTAGTATCTTTTGACAATAGTCATCCTTTTGTGTTCAAAAATGTAAGCATGGGAGAATGGATAAAATATTTCATCAACTCCGTTTGCTTTGCCTGGTTGCGTCTTAGTTTATCACTTTTTTAAGACAAAGGAATTCATTTCAGAAGTCTCTCAATTCCTGACTGGTTCACAGAACTCATTTGACCATCCCTTTTTCTTTACCTCCATTTAGGAATGATGACCTTTTGGCCTATTTTAAGTTTCTTTTTTATCTTTTTGTTTTTAATTTTTTAGATGGCAAACCATTTTGGTTTGCCATCTTTTAGTTTTCTAATTTTTATTTTTTTTTAAATAGTGAACATTTTATTTTTCTATCACTACAATCTCTTCTTAATTTTCAATGTTGTGAATCCTCTTTTGGCATTTTCCACTTGTGATAAGGACTACTTACTCTCCCAACAGGTATTCTCCACCTTAAAAAAAAAAAAAAAAATATTTAAAATTTACTACACTGAAATAAAACAAGATTAGTAATTTTGATTTACAATTACACCAAGTTCACAGTGCTTATGGTCAAATCATGTTGAAACACCAGTTCTCATATGATCACTGAAGTTAAGCAGTATTGAGTCTGGTCAGTACTTTTGTTGGCAACCACTTGGGAATACCAGGTGCTGTAAGCTTAGATGTGCATGTGGTGTAATGAATAACAGCTCGGAGAGTCAGGTTTGTTATATTCACATATGTGCTAATACCTTTGGGAAAGGTATGAATCCACCCCTTCTCCCCCGGCTATGGGTTAATTAGTAGCACATGTATCAGTAGATCATTATTATCTCCAAAAAGATCTTACAATCTAAAAATATATCCTGCCTTTAAAATAACCTACAAAAGGTTGATAAGCCATAAAAAAACAAATCAATCAATCATTTCAAGTTTACAATGCATGTGTTCATTACTTTAGAGGTCTTGTAGAATTTCTGCAAAAATAAAATACATTTTAGGATTTTATTCAGTATATATTGTTTAGTCATTAGTAGTTTTCAGATGGAATTAGTAGTAAAATCTGAAACTAGTAACTATCAAAAACTTATGTTAAGTGGCTGCATAAGTAATGATCAAACTATTGCATATACCCAAAACTATTGCCTTTAGTTGCTTAAAACAAGAATTAGTAATTATGTAGTGTAAATATAATTAAACAGTAGACCAAAAAAGCATTAGCTTTGACCATTTCTAGCATTTTTGTTGTGGTGTAATGGATATTGACTTGGAATGTGAAATCTAAGAGCTGAGTTTGTTACAGCCATTTATGCACAAATACCCATGGGAAAAAATGAACCCATCCCTTCTACCTCCAACTATGGATTGAATAGCAGGACAGACTGAGTTCTATAGCCTTGGTTAGTAGCCAGTCTACTGTGGGAAAATCTGCCTAGTCAATTGAAAGAAACATGATTGTCTAGGCGGGTATCACATATGGTACTTAACTGACTGAATCAAACCTTATATAAATAATTTTGAAAGATTTTTTAAAAGATTGAAGGATTAATCAACTTATTTTTTTTTAATTTGGCACCAATATTCAGAATTTAAAAAGGTTATGTAAATAATCATCAATGTATTCTTTAAAACAAATTAGCCATAAATAATAAACAGTACCTTTTTAGTTTTTATAGTCATCTGTCACTTATATTATTGCCAACAAAGACAGTTTTATTTACATTTAGTAGTGAAGTAATCATTCTCAGTAATGTGGTTAATACACTCACACACACACACACATATATATATATATATATATATATATATAAAAATGGCAATTTCTGTCTGTCTGTCTGAATCAAGTTGCTGCCTAAACCCATGAACCCATACTGATGAAACTTTGCATACATGTTAAACTAACATCCAGTTTGTTACTATGCTGTTTTTTTTGTTTTTTTTTATAAAAATTTATAATGGAACTGCTAGGCTCCTAGATCGCAGATCTCTGCCAGGTCTTACGCAAAATGCTGTTTAAGCAAGGGAGACAAACATTTTAGAAATTAAAGTACACGTTATGAAATAATAACTCTTTGTTTAATTTGAAAAATTTAGGTGACATCTAATTACATTAGATGTAACATTACAGGTTATTTTCTAAATAAAATCTTTATTCAACACATTAATTCAGCATAATCTTTCTTTGAATATCATTTCTGTGGTGTTTACATTGCAAAAATATTAATTCATTTCAAATTTTACCATGTGCATCATTAAATTTGCCAGGTTCAAATTTATTAAATACAAAGAAATTGACTTGATCCATTCAGTCATTTAAATGTAAAATAACATTTAATTTGAACTTGTTTGCAGATAGAAACTTTACCTAAGCTCATATTTCAACCTATGCTTAAAAAAGCATGTTGTGGTGGTTGTTGTTTGTGGAATAACAACCTGTTTGAAGGACACTTTTGAGCTATAAAAAAAAAATGTAAAAGTGTAAAAAATATCTAACTGTGGAAATAGACATCCTTCTTAAAAATCCAAACATCCTTAATTGGCATGAGCCATGTACCCTTCCCCACAATAAAAAAGCAAAACTGAAATCAAAAATTTAACTTTTTTAAAATTAAAGGTTTTTTAAAACCTTCTACACCATTCAATATACACACACACACATATATATATAATTTATCAGTTGGGCAGATATATTTCCTCTAATGAGGCAATGTGGCACATCCTGGGCTTCAAAATCCATGAGCAGCATCCAACAGTGGTGAGTCTAGCTGTTCATCTTGAAAATGGTCAGCATATAAATATTTCACAGAAGACTGCTTGAAACATAATTGAAAATACACCAGAAACCACTTTGACAGCTTTCTTCAAATTATGCCAAATTGACCTGTTTGCTTGAACACTGCTGTATGTTGAGGTTCCAATTTATTACACCTGGACACACAATAGATGGAGCAGGTGCAAGCAAGGAGTACAAGTTGAGAGCTGAGAAGAAATGGCTGTCTTCAGAAGTGGGACATCGGGCGGACGTACACTATGCACCCCAATCAGCAGTAGTGCTTCTTTCTACATCTGCTGCTGCACTGTCAGATGTCCTACATCATTCACAGACCTGTGAAGATATAATGGAAAAGACTGTACAACCTACAGAGAGGCCTACATCAAATATGGACTACTGGAGGAGGTAGCAGTCAGCAAAGCACCAAGTAAACTGCCCCAACTATTTTCCATCAAGTTGATGACACGTGGTTTTTGTGAGCATCTCAAGCCTTGAACAACCCACAAAGCCAGCATGGCAGAGGATATCCTATGAAGGATTCAAAGGCAAACCTCAGTGGAAACTGTCACATTCAATGATGTCATTTACAATGAGGCATTAGTTGACCTGGGCACCTGAGTGCAAGCTATAGGAGGTCAGGGAATTGCCACATTTGGCCTACCTTAACCTGAGCAGGCAGTAAACAATCTTGCAAAATGAGTACATGCGGGATATCAATTATGACAACGAGGAAATGACATCGAATATAGCTGATAACAAACACAAGCTGATGGAGGACCAACTGGGTGTTTATAACACATTTCAAACACTGAAGGTGAAAGAGGAAATCCATTCTGCTTTGATGCCCCAGGTGGTACTGGCAAATTGTAAATTTAATTTAATACTAGCCCTCCTAAGGGCTATATTCTCTGTGAATGCACAAAAGCCATTTTCAGGGTTACTTACTTTGAATTGAATTGTTATATTTGGATAACCAATTTGCCTGTTATAAGTCACTTTTACAATTTTGGTATTCACAATTTATTGGTATTTCCTCCAAAAATCCTAGCAGTGGTGGTTGGGTATTCTTTGTGAACGCGCAAAAGCCCTCTTCAGTGATACTTACTTTGAATTGTTACTTTCGGATAACCGAAAAAAGGATGTGAGAACGAGAACTGGGATAACATCCACTTTCCCTGGAATTACCGGGTACGTCTGCTAGTCAAAAGTAAGTGCCGTGTAATTTGTTGCATGTTAATTTGGAGTTTGTAATGATTATTAGAACTCAACACAATATTGCAAAGTGTTTCCTTTGCCATTATAAACTAAACAGTTTGCATTTTTTAATCTTCAAAAATTAATTAATAACAAAGTTTATTAAATTTATATCTTTACAATTCTGAATCGAAGAAAAAAATGTCTTGCAATGTACCAGGGCAGTCAGCATCGGACACACAAAGGTGTGTGTGTGTGTATGGGCGCGCGCGCATTTGTTTTTTTGAGAACTTTTTCTTTAAAACATTACGGTCAAATATTTATCGGTTAATGACTAATGTTTTTAAGACTAGAAACAGAATTAAACTAAACAGTTTATGAGCCGTGGTTAAACATATTAAAAAAAATAATACCATAAAGTTTACGAAGAAGCCTTCAAACTTTGCGCAAAAAATCTTCTGTCCAACTCTAAGTGCCCATTTAATTAATAAATCACAAAATAAAGACCAGAGCACCAAAAACCATAAACACCAAATTAACATTTTTTTTTTTAATTATTGTATTTATTTCTTTTTTTTCACTGCGATCGATCGCTATGTTACTTACCTCTTTTATATCCATTTTTGTAAGCAGTCGAGGAAGTCGCAAACCGTCGGTTATCATCTTTATAATGAAATGGGGCAGTAGATCCACCCCAATGTCGTATGACACCCGGGTTTTGTCTTATTGGTGGGACAAGTTTCATTTGTATTCCAGCAATTATACTCATAAATCTTACTCTTAGTCCTTGTTTTGAATACATTGTTGATGTTTATTGTCTAACTTCAACCGATACTATTGAATTCAAGTTTGTTACACTACTAAACAGTACGGAAAAGCATCCAGTTAATAAGAGTGACAAAGGCTAAAATCAAGATTAGCAGTAATCATACCAGTTTTGTTTTTACGTTGTTTTCTAAAATTATTAATTTTAAAATGAAAACAGCAGTAGTAGTTACTGAAGCAAATTTCATAAGACATCTTTTTTCTCTGATAAATGCTCGACCGGCATTCCAAACATAAAAAAATACAAAAACATTAAAACAATGACAACACACCGTAAAAGTCTTTCCTTTAAGAAAAAGAAGGTGTCATACAACAGTTAGTTTGTTGGTTTCCAAGAGTGTGCGCAACCCTATGTGTGAAAGATAATATTGTAGGGTATTTTTGTAGAATGTAGAGTCTTTAAGCACACGTGCGTATTGAGAAGGGCGATATGGACCACCATTCGCTCTTGCAAAAGGCAAACGGTCATTTATCACAAGTGTTCCCCCTGAAAAAAAAGTCAAGCTACAACAAAACAAGTGTTCTGACTCTGATCTCAATGGATTTTCCCTGCGTAGATGCCAATGAATAATAAATGAGATTAATAAACGTTTCCGAGATTAATCGTCTTTTGTATAATTAAGCTAACATAAAAGTGCTAAATACATCGTACGTAGAGTTTTATGACTACTTCAGTACTTCTTTGGACATCTCGTTAGGACAGTCTCACAAACCAATTATCACTGATTTTGTAGTGACGTCGATCTTCACTGGGTGTCCAATATACTTATGTTTTTTTGTGCCATATCTAAGCTATGACTACCTCGTATTTGCATGGTTAGTATTCAATTCAAAATATCAAGCAAAATTACTGCTTGCGAAAAAACACTGGCACTGGTGAAATTGA